TTTTGTTGGATATTTTATGCTCAACTTACACTTAAATTGTGAAGATATCATGCTACAAAAATACCTTGACAAACGGTAAGTGTTTTTCATGTCTCAGTATTGAAGAATTTAATTGAAAACATTGTTTTAAATAATGATTGCTTTTCATCTTTCTAGGTCGACTGTCAAGGTTTATAAAATGCAAGACCAGATAGCCAAGGTTTGGTAAAAAATACCTCTAAAACATCATCATATGTAGTTTGTTAACAATTAACTAATCTTTGTAATTCTTTCATTCGGTATTCAAACGTTTTTTCAAAATTTGCTATTTTCTAAACCTGAAAAGGTCTGACAACAGTCCAATTTTTACTTCTTTTAAATTTTACCCTTGAATTTTAAATTAGTCATTTAATTGCCTAGCTAGACCGAGACTTCGTTTTTTAATAGTTCTGAAGAAAAAATCTACTTCAGGTAAAAATTCAACTTTTTCTTGAAGGAACTGACTTCACTTTGCACCTTTGTCACAATGTCAACTTTTTTCTTGTTTTATTATTCAAAAAATAACAACAAAATCAATTTCAAATGCCAAATTTTCAATTAAACATAAGAAAGATGTAATGTTTCTCTCATAATTTGACCAAACTTGGTTGTTTTGAGCCAAGAAAAAAAAGACATGAAATTCATGTTGAATTTTATAGCTAAAGAAATATCAAACTAGAAAAATATTGTATTTTTATTGTATCATTCAACTATATTATTCTATAACTATGTACAATGCATTAAAATTACATTAAGATTTTTATTCTAGTTTTCTAAACCCAAGAGAAAGAATCTTAATAAGAAAGTTTTTCATGTCCTCTCATTTGTACTTACTTTAAAGCTTAAATTCAGTTTTACTGAAACTGAAAAAATTCTATCACCTACAAAATGTCAAAAACTATCATACAAAATTATAAAATATACATTTTGATATAAGCTTATATTTTTACAAAAGTACATTTAAGGAATTGTAGAAAACTAAGAAATGATGAATAAATAGTTTGATGTGATTTTTGTTGTGTTTGGTTTACTTGTATCACTACAACTCTACAAGAGTCAAACATTGAATTATCTACTATATGACTAACCCAAGACCAGGATATTTATCACTACAGAATTGTATAGTTTTCTTTTTACATTCAGCAGATATGTTATTACCAGACAGGTGTAGATAGGTGAGATTACTGTGTAAGTGTACCATGATGTCATCCACTCCACCATCAGTTATCTTATTACCATGCAGGTATAGCTTGGTTATTTTTGTCTTTTGTAAATCTTTACACAAACACTTTACATGTTCATCATTCAAATCACTCCACCTCAGCTCCAGTCTAGTTATTGAACAGTTTGTAATGAGTGATGACATCAATCTCTTTATCCCAGTAATGGTTATCGGTGAGTAACCAATGTACAATGTGTGTGGTGGTGATGATATTGGTGTAGCAGTGGATTCTACTAACATAGCGATTGCATCCCAGTCCGTGTCGGTTACACCACCAAGTAATCCAATCCCCCCATCACGATCCCAGTATCTGTAGTCACGGTTTGTATTTAGTTCTTGTCTTGTCAAGCGTTTGTCTTGACCAAACTCGTGCAGGCATCGCAATGACACCAGTCTTAGTCTG